GTCTGTGTTACTCTTTTGGATAAATAATAATATAAAGATTTTTTGATAAAATATATAAATAATTTTATAGATTATGTTATCAGAAAAATAAAAATATAAATAAATTTATTGTTAAAAAGAAATAAATAAAGATATTCGAGTAGTATTTTTTTTTTAAAAAAAAAAAAAAAATGGTAATTTTTAAGCAAATAAATAAAAAGCCAAATTATAATCAACATCATCAGTCATATCAGTAATTACTGGTATAATTTCTTGTGCTTTTAACCAAACATCATGTGAAAAACTTACATCAGCGTTAAAACAAAACTCTTTCAAATTACCAGTTCTAATAGCATAATCTATAACTGAATTTAATATTTCATCATCTAACTCATTTAAATAAATAGTTAATTTTGTTAAAGAAACTTTCAACTCTTTAAGAAATGCATCTATATGTTCTTGTTCAAGTGTTAAATTAAAATTTAATTCTTCAATAGAATTAGGAAATATTTTCGCAAATTTTAAAATCATATCTTTTGTATATTGAATATCATTTTTTGCACTTTCTAAATTCAAATATTTCAACTTTTTTAATTTTGAAAGAGCTTTCACAAAGCAGTTGAATATTGCGTAATTGATTATTATTGATAAGGAAGTAATATTTGAACTATATTCAGCGATTGTATTTGTCAAATTTTCATCACAACCATTAAAAGATATCTTTTCCAAATGTGATCCAGATAATTTAATAATTTTAGAAAAAAATGGGCAGAGTATAGAATAATAAGTTCCATAAATAATTAAATTTTTAATTTTAAATTGTGTTCTTGAATGTAAATATGGAATAGATCTTGGATCAATTTGTTTAAGTGGTGTATTATAATAGATTAATTTCAGAGTATCTAAATTAAAAGAAGCTAAATAAGGGATTAAAATAGAGATGTCATATAATTGTCCTATTTCAAGAAATTTTAATGAATGAGATTGATTTGTGAGAGCAGAGAAAAATAAGGAAGATTGTGAATTGATAGCCCAAGAAAGAATAACAGTAAATGATTGAAGTTTATGTTGAGAATTTATCAATAAGAATAAATGACTAAATATTTCTTGTTGAAGAACTAAATCACTAATAGATTTTACCGATATATAAAGTTTTTGAATACTATGTGAGTGTAAAGATAATTTCTCAAAAATTTGGGATGAATTTATTTGAAACCCATTGTCGATTTGTAATTCTGTTAATTTTGAAAAAGTGTGGCAAATTCCATTTACACATACGTCCGGAGGAAGATGCATAAGACAACATCCGTTATCATTATGATTATTTAAGTGTAATGTATATAAGCCAGCAGAGTGACTTAAGATGTATTGACTGATTATATGATTGCAAATAAGTAATGTTTTTTGAAATTCCGTATTTTCAACATCAGGTTTAATGGTTGCCTTGCACCAAGAATATAATGCATTATCGAAATATCGACAATTCAAAAATCGTAGATATTTTGGATAATCAAAAAGAGCTGGTTTGAAGTTCTCTTGAAGGTTTAAATTATGATTTATCAAAGTTTTCCTTTGAATTTCTGTGAGACAACTCATATAGATAGAAATAATTTTTGTTCCTTTATCAGGCGATAGGTAATTACCGTTAAAAATATCACACCATAGCAAAGGAATAGCAGATCTACACCATAATCGATTGACTAAAGCACAAGAAAAAAGTGCTTTATGATTACTATGTAAGTGACTAATTATTTCTCTGACACAATCGGGGATAAGATGAAAAGGTGTAACTGATGGATCCATTAATGAACAAAATACAATTTTGTTTTAAATTAAGTT